TAAGGAGGGGGGGGGGGGGGGGGGGGGGGGGGGGGGGGGGGGGGGGGGGGGGGGGACTGCTCATGCTTTGGCTTAATTGGTTCTTCATGGCTAGGAGTCTGTAGATTGTATATGAGAGCAATTTCTTGCACACAATTTTGTGGAAGCATGAATAGATCCTCAGCCTATTTGTTTTTCTACATTGAGGGCTTCTTTAGATTATTCAAGACAGCACCACCCACTGCAACCTTGTTTATTAATCAAATGGTGGAAAATGCAAGGAAAGTCAAGGATTTCAATGCATTATGAACCAGGAACGCTTGCTGTAGCCATTTATGGATCCCTGTTCCTCTGTAAAAGTGGGAGCATTAGTTTACATTGATAATGTGATCAGTCCGTACTTCTCTTTCTGCTGAACATTTTATGGGGTTAGAATGCATTCCCATATAAGATGTTCTCAATTCTTTCAATGTCAGATCACTCGTATATTGAATGGAGAACTTCCTCGAATACAACCCGTTACAATTGGATACATGATAAGTGATCTATAATTTAGTAAATTTAACATTAAGTGGATCTGAATCCCATTTAGTCACTACACTACAGCTTTGGAGTTACACAAACGGAAAGATAATCTATGTCTGAAAGTGTGTTATAACTATGTCTATTTCATAAGAAGTGAAATTTGTTCCCGCTTTTTGCAATGTCATTGATACCAACTTGCTTCCTGGATTTTGGGCTTTGATTTCCTTTCATTTCTTCTTAAATGGTGTATCTATGTTCAAGTTGTTAGCTTATTATGTCGACAGTTGAGAGAGATGTTTCCTGTAATGACCATGGAAATTTAACTTACTTGGATCCTATTCCATTAAGTCATACTTGTTCGGCGATTTTTATATTGGCTTCAGAAAAGAAGAAACAGATTTAAAACATTAGATAGATGTAGCTGTACTGAAAAAATTACCTTTTCCTGAATTTGAAGTTTGGAGAAATTGGGAGCTCTTCAGTGGAACAAAGTGGTGCATAAGCATCAAGAATGGAGGCTTATTACTTGTATCTGGTTACACGCTGGTATTATTCATCTGATCGTAAATATGCTGAGCCTCGTTTTTATTGGCGTCCGCCTTGAACAGCAATTTGGTTTTGGTATGTGATTTTCATTCCTGTTTCTGAATTTATTGTTGGATCACCCTTTTTCTTGAATTTTTGGAGTGAAATTCATAAGAGGGATTTTCATCCTGTACCCCCATTTGATCTTCTTAAATTTTGACTGTATGCATATACTTAGAACTCTTTCTTGATGTTACAAACTTGGTAACTACTTGTGTTTCATAAAGAAGACCATATTCTCTAGAATTCAATATACATTACTTCTCTTATAATCCTATTAGACAAATAATAACCTGGCTATTTGGCAGTGCGGATTGGAATTATATACTTGTTATCGGGATTTGGTGGGAGCATACTTTCCTCTTTATTTGTCCGAAATAGCATCTCTGTTGGTGCTTCTGGTGCTCTTTTTGGGCTTCTTGGAGCAATGCTTTCAGAGCTTCTTACAAACTGGACTATTTATACCAATAAGGTGACCAATGCTTATTCAGGGTTTTTGTTTTATCTGTTTTCATGTTGTAGTCCTTACAGTTGTTACTATGTTTTAGTATTAAGTATTTGTTTTCACTATTTGCTAATGTATTTAAGTATTGCTGATATAAGACTATTGGTCAAATATCATTGCATTACGGAGCCTGATTGGCTTTTTCATGTTGCTAATTGACTCCTCTCCTGTTCTTGCTCTTAGGCTGCGGCACTGATAACATTTTTGATCATTGTTGCTATCAACATAGCTGTTGGGATCCTGCCACATGTTGATAATTTTGCCCATATTGGTGGATTCTTGACGGGATTTCTCCTTGGCTTTATCTTGCTAGCTCGTCCCCAGTTTGGGTGGATGGTGGGTCGGAATCAGCCAGCTGATGTTAGAGTCAAATCCAAATACAAGGCTTACCAGTATGTGTTGTGGTTGGTTTCTCTGATTCTGGTGGTTGCAGGGTGAGTCTACTTACCCAACAGTTAGTGTGAACTGGTCATGTTCATTCTCATGAAAAACACTATACCACATTTGTAAACTAATAATGGGAAACTGGTTTCTCCTTTTATGTTTTCTTCTAGGGTTCGAGAGTTTTTTAGATTAATGTGAGAAGATGTCACTAACTTTGCATTTTTGTTATGTATAACCAAAATACAGGTTCACAGTAGGATTGGTGATGCTGTTCCGGGGAGTGAATGGAAACAAACATTGCAGCTGGTGTCACTACCTGAGCTGTGTCCCTACCTCGAAATGGAAGTGTGATGAAACTTAACACTTATGATGGACTTCGTTTACTCCTCCTTTCTCATTATGCTTGGTGCATGTATAAATACATAGTTATAGGGTTAGAATGATCCGTTTCTTTACTTTTGAATTTATTCTTTCGGCATTGATATTGTGTATCACTTTCTTACTGGATATTATACATTTGAAATACAGATGAATCTAGTTTTACAGCCAGTTCAAAAACTTAGGGTTTTTGGAGGTTTATGGGATGTTACAGTTGAGGAATCTCCACCTGTTTAACAAGAGAGGACATGGCTCATACATATTCAATGAAACGTTTACACCAGCACAACCACGTAGTATAACTATCCAATGATAAACTACCGAGTAGAAAAGATGAACCCCACTTTTTCACAAATTGGGTAGTTATTAAACTTTGTCGGGTTTAGTTGCATTCTTGGTGGTTTATCATTGGATGATTACAACACGTGCTAGTGTTGACATGGTAGAATTGTTACATTGAATATTTTCTCCTACTGTGGGTAATAGTGATCCATCTGATGCTTGTTTGGTTTCAAACTCATGCAACCTTCATTGAATAGCACACTTTCCACATCCCACACCAACCCAACATACCCAACCCTCCTCCTCCACACTACAAAACCTTTTCATGTTTACTCTGAGCAACCCAACTATTGATATGTTAAAAAGGTCTGGGAGTGAGCAATTCAACGAGATGGGGAGTCACAAAGCTGCAGTTATAGTCACTGGAATGTTGATGTTCCTATCAGGGTTTGCATCCGCGTCAGCTGACGCTGTGGATTGCACCACCGTGACGTCGCTCATCTCTGCATGTTCCACCTTCGTCACTTACGGTTCGCCAGACCCGATTCCTGGATCACCATGCTGTGTCGCCGTGATGAGCCTCAATAACATTGCCAACACCATTGAGAATATCCGGTTCATGTGTAGATGCATAATGGGCCTCATTACTACATACAATCCTAATGCCACTGCCATAGCCACTTTACCTGGCTTCTGTGGAGTTTCTCTAGGCTTTACCATTGACCCCAACACTGACTGTGATTAGTAACTCTCTCTCTCCCTCTCTCCCTCTCTCCCCCTCTCCCTCTCTGTTTTATTGTGGCGTTTCTCATAAGGTTTACATTTTGGTGCAGCATCCTTTGATATGGGGTTCCAGGAGAAGGGGATTTCTCAGAGAAGTTGTATGTAGAAGCCAAATAAGAAGCTTGTTTGACACAGAATAGGAGGGACTCTTAAAGTTTCTCAGTATCTGAAATAATAATAAAGATTGTAGCCTAAAAAGTGTAAACCTTCTTAGTAAATGAATGAATAAGTTTTCCTACTCTGTTGAGTGGGGTGGGGAAGAGGGTTTCAACTTTCAACAATAGTGAATGCTCATCCTCCCAAATTATGCATCGCAAGTTCAAGTTCCCTAATAAGGATCTCCAAAACAGGTCGCTGGTTAGAGCTCAGGAATCAGCGTCCCCAAAATGGGGTTGAAACTGCTGACTACTTATCTCTTTCAAATGTTGCTAAAAGCTGAACCTTGTTAGTATTCATCAACAGGTCATACTAAAATGTCAATGCTGATGGTTACAAACATAGTCCAAAATAAAGTATCAAAATATTTCTGTTGTTTTCCCATGTAAATAAAACATTTGTACAATCAACAATGGATCATGGATAGAACACACAAAAAACAGATGAGCACAAACTGTAGTTGTGATCAGTATTGGAGCCAATAAAGGACTGATCATGGATTTTGCCAACAATGCCTGTAGATCACATTGAGGATGCCAAACCAGACTCCTTTTTTTGGGAGGGGGGGGAGGGGGAGAGGGGAGAGGGAACTTGAGCTCTTGACCTCAAGAAGACAACGCCTTTACAAGGTAAGGAATGTCATTGGACCAAAGGGCCATTGGTACCAAACCAGACTCCTTGCGGTACAGAATGGAGCTCTTTCGCTGCTACCCCCGGGTCTAGAAGATGCAGAGCACCCTCGTGGGCTCTTTGCAGCAGCCTAAACAACTGCTTGATCGATTTTCATGGAAGATTTCAGTGACCTCAAAGACGGCACTTCCCCCACATAATAGACTGGGATTAGGTTTATTAGACGTAGATGATTTTCTTGATAGAGAATGAATTGTTGTAATCTCTTGTTCACTGTGATGCCAAGCTGGAACATGCTGTGAATTGTAAAAGGCTCTTCCACTTTGCTTGAAGTTCAAGTGAGGCTTCTAAGTATCTATCTCTTCTCATCATTGGTATGCTCTTCTCATCATCGGTATGCCCATTTTTGAGTGATATGTCTCTATGGATGTTTCATGACCTTTGTTCCATTCAATGGTCTAACCAGTTTCTGCTCGATTTTGTCCTTGATGCTTGTTTTTGAACGGCGTCTGTATTTTCCCACAATCGGAAACTTTAATATAGTTTGGGAAGAAAATTCAAGATATTATTAATCAAATTTGTTAATATAGTTTTTTTGGACTGCCATTCATGCCAAAGCTCTGACTACAAACTACAATAATCAATCATTAAGTGTTGGGTTGATTACCCTGTAAGGTAAGCAAAATAGAGCTGGGCTTTGGAAATTCTAAAGGCCATCTTTTGCAAGGATATGTTTTGTTGGTATGGCCTCCAACTTTTCTTCATTATGGAGGGGTGGGGGAGGTTCAAATCTAATAGTTGAAATTAGTTTGGATTTTTCGTTTTCCCACATTTGCTTCCAAGTACGAGTATACATCAGATGCAGTGGGGTTACGTATTTCTGATATTAAAAGAAGTCACCAGACAGATATTGCATGGTACCTTTAGCATTAAGGAACCATCTTGTTGGTTGCCATATGCACAAAGTTGGTGTTCATATTTCTGGGAAGCTGTTATTAGGCAAGTGTTGGGATTTCTTACGATTTAAAACCATTAACAAACACACACAATCGAAGAATAAATCAAGAATATAAAGCAATAAGAAACAAGAAAGAACAAGACACAGATTTTACGTGGTTCGACAATTTGCATACGTCCACGAAGCTGCAAGGATTTTACTATTGAGAGAGTTGAATACAGAGAGCGGCTGTACCATCCACAATTAACCCTAATCACCAAAACAACAGGGTTTATATGTCTTACGCACTGGGCTGTATAACGGGCCCAAAAAAATTTTTCTCGGGGGCGTTGCCCCTGAACCCCCACGAGGCTTGTCCATGAGCGTTACGGCTTGGACCTATCGGCCCAAGCCTTCGCTCTATGAACTAAGCCTCAAAAAATTTTCCATTAAAAATCACACAATATTATTTCGGATCGAGTCATAATCCGGATCACATATACAAACTAGACTCCATAAAAATAAAACAACAGCAAGTGTCCATGAAAAGACAAGAGCACACCAAAAATTAACTGCTGAGTTGAATCTGACACCCTCCACTGGTGTCCTTTAATCACATATTTTTCATTTTATATGTGCAGATGATTGGTATATGTTGATGACACGGATGGTTGTCTGTTGATTGATTTTAAGTACTAGGATCCATGTAGGGTGGCACCGAACTCAGTTCATCTGGGGTGGCATTTAACTAGGCAGCCTGATTTGTAGTTTAATCTCAAATGAGCTGTCAACTCCATTATGATCACTATCACATATCCGATTTTCTTTAAAATTCACAGATTAAATAGCAAATGAGATGGACCAAACAGTAATGGGAGCAATAGTGCCACTGTCAATGTCTTTTAATTAACAAAGTGGGATTGTTATTATTACTGAAATAGTCTCCGTACATGAGGTAGGACTGTTTACATCTAACTGACATCACAGAGCGCGAGCCTCTAAGTGCATTGGTTTGCAACAATTAGTAGATCTGAATAGTCAAATTTTGAATACTGAGAAACAGCTGGTGCTCTGTTCTCATCATAAGGGGAAACATCTTTACTTTTATTCATGTTACTGAACTCTTCTGTGACCTTACACGACATTAATCATTTATGGAACAGAAGATATCCTCTAAAAAGAAAAGTACAAAGAACATCTAAGAAGAACTCATGACTCTGATATTATTTGTAGAATAGTTGCATGCTCCCCTCAATTTCCTGCATCTGAAAAGTCAGTCAACCATTAGAATAAGTTAGGAAAGATCAACAATCCCTTTAACCTAATGTTTGTATGTATGAGAGAGAGAGAGAGAGAGTAAACTAAGCACCACAAGTGATGGGAGGGAGGTTGCACTGAGCAGGAAGGCGAGCAGCGATCCTGATGGTGTTGCAAAGGCACTCATGGTTCACGGCTTGGAGTGCACCACAGCAGTCATGGGAGGGATTGGTATTATTGGCACTAGGCACCACAAAGGGTGCACACACGTTGAGGTTACCGAGATCAGCCGAGCAGCTCTGTGCCTGAGATTCATCCACTTGGGTCTGCACCAGAAGCGCGATGAGCATGAAAAGCAATGTGGCCTTAGAGCTGAGAGAAACAAAAGGCTTCATGGCTGCAACTAGCAAAGTTTTCTCAATCACTTAAAACTGTTAGATATCTGGTTACATTGCAAAGGGCTTCACTTCTACTTATAGCTGATGAACAGTGACTGGATTGTAACCGGGGAAAACTTGCATGACTCACCTAATTTGAGTCATAAGAAAACAGTTTCCATGTACTATTTTTAAATTGGTACAAAATTTATTGCCAACCCCCCCCTCCCCCTCTTTTTTTTTTTTGGATTTTTAACTTTTTGATCTGGAAAATTTAGCTATGAAGAACAGGCTTGGGCAAGATTACATCAGAAATCACAGTAGACAGCAACTCACAAAAAAATCAAAAAATAAGATTTTTCATCAAACATATGAAACCATGCTCATGAATCAAAATGAGACCGTTTTACGTAGTGAATGGATCTGCATTTAGCTCAATTAGTTTGTAAACAATTCACAAAAGAATTATGAAGCTAACATCAAAAACCAAAACTTAGGAACTTGAGAACTTTAACAAGGAAAATTATGATTAAATAAAAGGAAAGAAAAAAAGGTTCTCTATTTAGAATTTCCAATTTCAAGGGTAGCAGGAGCTGTCCAATAAGTCTTCACTGCAAAGAGAAGCTTCTCCCTCTGTAGGGGGCCATCTTCATGGTCAACAATCTGACTATCCCAGTTCATTCCATCCACGATCCTCTTAACCTTAACCAAAATATCGACATCATCCCGGAGGATTACGCTTCCTTCAGGCCTTAGAATTCTGTCCATTTCTAGCAGAATATCTTCCATTCCACATCTGCAATCCAAAAATGCACACAAAAACATTATAAGCCTTTTCTTACTAAATTGACACGGTTTTATGCTACTATAAGAAATTCTACGAGACTTTAGTCTGAAGTGTCACAGACCCTAATATGTCTTCTGCACAAGAATACCAATAAGAAAAATCTTCGAAATTTATTACCTGTTTCTGTAGAGGGTAAACACTGAATCAGCATGAATGAGATCATACGTTCTAGGATAGGTAGACATTGCTTCACACCTAAAACCAAATCAATTATAAGCCACAAAACTGAAACAAAATAATCAAACCAGATAAAGTGAGAGCGTACCAGCTCTGATATGTGCCAATTAATCCCCTTTCATAAATAACTCCAAGAGTATTGACCTTAGCTTCAACAGGAACAACATTCATCACCCAAACTGGATCTTTAATCAGAGCAGCCGCGAATCCACCCAAGTATGCATTCATGTCTAGAAGATTTCTGTATCTTCCCGCTTGCCCGAGTTGATTGTTCACAGTTTTATAGTAAGACACTCTCCTTTCCCATAGTTTTGAATCTTTCTGGAAAACCTCAGCTGTAACTCCTTTCACTGTTCCACTAGTAATCCTAGGAGGGATCACATTCAATCTCTGTGGCCACTTTGCCAATTTCCCTCCTGCAACCTCATGATTGTTTGAAACTTCAGGCAAGGGAGTTAAACATGTCTCCAACTTTGTGTACCTGAACATCATCATGTTCATATAGACTTGAGAAAATAGCATAAGAAAAATTCACGCACACACACGCATACAACATTAACCTGTCCAAATTCAGATTTAATCATTTGGATTGTAGTAGCACTGACCATGCCTTGTCGGGATCTTGGGCAGGACAGAATGGTGGATTCTTGGTAATCTTCCTGGTAGCTTTGCAATTTAAATGGTTTGTGGGCTTTTGCCATATAGCAATGTCATCCTTCTCAACAAACTTCTTCCAGCAAAGGCTTTTAGCTACATTCTCAATGTTAGTTTGTTCATCACTCAAATCCTCCCTGGTTCTCTGCCATCCTTTCCAGTATTTCTTCCAGCGGATTGGTGGCCCCGAGAGGATCCAATATCCACCGGGCCTCAGTACTCGATCAACCTCAATCAAGTAAGCACCATCTGTCCCAAAGTACAACTAATTAAGAACAGATACAAGTGAATTGTAACACACTGAAGACTTGGAAACAATGTTTACCAAGAGACACGATAACATATCAGTGAAGAGAACTTAGTACTCTACGTGATTATGAACATGCCATCAAAATCACCAACATTATAATCAAATACGAGGAAACATGATCTTAAAAATGGTAATACACGAAAGGTCATGGAATTACCATACTGGCCCCATGGAATGAGGCAGCGAGAGCAATGAGCCATGTCAAAAGCTCTGGATGGGTAAGGAAGCCTCTTGGATGCAATAACACCAATCAAAGCGGGCACTCCTCGCTCGAGAGCAAATTGCACCTGTGCTTCATGTGTATCCCTCGGTGCAAACGACATTGTAAGGATATTTCTTGACAGAAGATATGCTCCCCAGCTAGCAACCTGATATATATCAATATTCGGAAAAACTCAATGAACAAGACTACCCATTTTACTTTGAAATTTAAACGTTGTCCACATATCGATCCTTAGGCATCCATTGCTACAAAGGCTTGGCTTCAAAATCGTATGTAGAGTTTTGCAATCAGCTTTTACCAGTCTGTTGAGAAATTCATGGTTTTGCATCTTCTTACTAACCTTTAAAGGAAACTTTTTTTTTTTTTTTTTTAAAGCGAAGAATCTAGCAAAAATGAAAAACAAACTTAATATGATCAGGAGATTTGATCATAGATTATTCTAGTGATTCCTTGATCACTTCTAGGAAGCACGGATAAGTATACTAGAATACGACAAAATTCAAAAATATAGAATATGCGTACGACAAAGATTCGACTATTAAAATAATATAATATATTTTTTCAATAATAATAGAGTTACAATATATTAAAAATAAAGCTTGTATTATAACAATATTAATAATAAAACTTATCAAATATTAATTTTTTGATTAAAATTGAAATAGATCAATCGTTTTCATCAAATATTATTATATAGATTAACTTTCATAATTTATAAATTACATAACGAAAAGTATATTAAAATAATAGCAAAAACACCTCTTTTAATAGTTAAAAGAAAAAAACTTCACCATGTCACATATATTGGCCATTGGATTTATTATTAACCGTGTTTCAGACATGTGTCCACCATTGACACAACACCGCTCCAATAAATATCCGTGTTTCTTAAATCACTCCCATAAACTCACTTTACAAAAGGATTTTCTTAACAGATTGAATCAATAAAAACTGTTTTTTGCCAAGAAAAAAAAAATCATTAAATATGGTAATTGAACACAGGCAGTGAGACCCACATCCAATCCACTATGTTCAGAAATAGAAAATTTCAGGTAAAGTATCTACTTTTTAAAGAAGAGTAACGGTAGGTCCAAGGTGGGGCTACGAGACAAATTGCATCCGGTGTTTGACCAGGAAACTTGTTGGGTTCCTTCTGGTGACAATTAGATCCAAAAGTAGGTGTTCTCTGTTCTGATACTACCCCCACTAAGTACAAACCTTTTTTCCAACTACTCCACGAATTTAGTACCCATAATGCCAAATCGAATCTCTCTTATCACAATCTTTCCAAAATGTGTCTGAATCTAGCCAAATTAGGCAGTTACATAATTACCCAGATCTTCCGCTGTCCTAAAATATCATAAAATTTTGCAAAATCCTGGATTTCTTATCCCTAATTTGTCCTAAATTAACAAAATTAAAATAAGAAAAACCAAAATTTTCTCGCTAATTATAGATTTTTTTTTTTTATAAACTCAAACTAATTCGTTTTTCGATTCAGTCAAAGACAAAATTTTAAATTTTTGGTGAATCGAATTTCAAAATTGCATTTTTTTTGCTTCAAAATTAAGTAATGAAATTAAATCTCTTGAAAAATAAGGGAAAAGACGCCTACCCCACAGCCAGTATCAATGGCGGTCCGAATGGACCCATCTTTGAGATTGATCAGCTTGTCAATATCATCAATGTACGCATCAGCGCCATTGGTGAACATCGTCCCACCACCGGGGAATCTGAACCTATCGCCTTCATACCTAATCCAGTTCTGTACAGCTTTCTCCACCGTCAATTCCTTGTGTGGTACATTGGCATACCACACCACATCCCTACTCTGAGGCCATTTGAAAGGGTTCCTGTAACCATGCGGCGCAGGTACACGGCACTTCAGTAGTTCACCCTTTTGAGGGCAATGCCTTTCTCTGTATATCAACCTGTCTCTGTCGAACTTCAGAGATCTTACAGCGTCCTCGCATGGCGTGTATTCACTGTACTTCACGTCACAAGTTGGGTATTTTGTGATGGCCTCATCGGGAAGTGTGATGGCACCGCCGACGTCGGCGGAGTGGTGGGAGCCGAAGTCTAGGGATTTGGAGGTTGATAAGGGGGTTGTAGTTCTGAGGGTTGTGGTTGGGATGGTACAAGGAATGGTGGCACCAAGGTTGGTGGAGGTTCTGATGGAGGTGGTGGCGCCGCCTCCGTGTTGCCATATGCCAAGGATGTAAGAAAGAGAGCAAAGAAAAGTGATTAGAGCTAGTGAATAAAGGTTGGTTATTTTCCAGAGTGAGTTAGGGGCGGTGGGTTTGGAAGTTGGGGTGTAGTGTGGTGGGTTTGCACCCGCCATGGCAGTATGTGAAACTTTGCGTCACTCTCTCTCTCTCGCTCTCTATCTATCTATACAACAATGACTGTGTGTATATAATGCGGGGGTGTTGATGAATGTGTGAGTGGGGTTAGAGTTTTGAGAAGAGGTTGGAGAGAGAGAGAGAGGTTTGGAATCAAGTTGGACATGTGGTACATGATATATGTATATGTTTGTGTATTATAATATGACTATGTGAAGAGAGAGATATAGATGGGGGTGTTGTGTTGGGTTTCAGAAAATGGTAAGTGGGGGAGGTACAGAGAGAGAGGACTGTGTGGTCTTGATTTTGATACGGAGAAGACGGAGAGTTAGAGCTGTATTTTTAGGTGTAAAATAGAAAGAGAGAGAGAGATTTGTTAATTGTATGAGTCATTGGGTAACGTTTTCTATAAATAAATAAGGAAATATAGGTCATAGGTGGGGAAGCCATGTCTAGTATATCCTGTTCCAGATGAGTGCTGTATAAATCTTTCCTCGTCAGCGTCATTAGTGTAGGGATTAAAAGTGCACTGCCCCCATAATTAAGTAAGTCCTTTTTTTCATTTTGTCTCATATTTTTTTGGGTGATAGATATTTAAATTTGTGTTGATTAATCATTCGAATTCAATGATCGAATACTATGAATTGAATTGAAATAGAGTATATATTTAAAATGACGGGGTGACTAAGCCTTAGAGAGTATAAACAAAAATTAAATTTGAAACTTCTAAATTATCAAAAATCAGACTCAACTATTAGATCAGTCAAAAAATTATTTTAGGTCATATTTATTCACATTGTGAAATAGATGTTATTTTATAAGAGTAATATTATTTAGATCTAAAAATTTGATTTAATTTCTTGACATAATGATATAATTGAATATAAATCATTGGATCACCATTAAATTTCAATGTTTGATGGGGCCTACAGTCAATCCAAATGTCACAGTAAATTAGATTAACAAATTAGGTCAAATTTTTAGGTCCCAATAACATTGCCCATTTTATAAACTCAAACCTTTGCAAATTTGATTTGAGAAATAAGATGTAAAAAAACATTTATATCGTTTTTTAGAATACTAATGGAACTTTTGATATTTTCTCGAGAATTTGAATTCATAAGCTCATTAATTTCTTCTTGTCCTCAAGACTATGAGTTCACTTGATTCCATCTCTTTGGAAATGTAATTTTTTTAGTTGCCCAAAAAAAAAAAAGGAAAGTATTTTTGCTAGCAAACCTACGATCTTTAGTTTATTTTATTAGGGACACCAATGTGACGCGGTATACTTTTCTCGGGAGTATTGGGGGGAAGACCGAAAGTACATTTGAGTGAAGAAGGGGGTAACCAAACGTCAACGCAACGATTTCCATACACTAATTTAATTCACGCTAGTATCGGTATTGGAGAATGCATTAATCCTTGAAAATAATAGTTTATGAGTAAGGCTAATCTCATTTTGTACTCTTCAATATTAAAAATTTTAATTTACGCCCTCAACATTATGAATTGATAACAATACAGACCTAACCTAGATTGTCATTCAATTTTTCGTGATAAATTGAAGAATGTGAGTTGCAATTGCTTCGGCCATTGATTTATGTATAAATTCATAAATTGTTGGCACCTCATGCGAGTTGCATATAATAAACTATTTGATTAATGAAACCCTATTTTTGATAAATAAAACAATGTTAAATTAATCCCATACGAAGATCTGCAGTAATGAACATATTTCATCATCATATTTGAAACACTTGCACCTCAAGTACTTCAATTTATGACGAAAAACTAAATGACAATATAGATCAAGTACACATTGCTATCAATTCACAACATTGAGGATACAAATTAAAAATTAAAACATCTTTTTATGGTACAAAGTGAGATTAACCCGTATGAATATCATATCATCTTATTAAAGGTAGGATCTAATGTTTCCACTCAACATGAATCTGAAAATTTACTAATAACCTTTTCATTAAGGATTTGGTCAATCTCTTGAATTGTCCCCATTAATAAAAGGATTAAAATTTGTGTTTTTTATATGTGTATCTTATTAACCAATTGAGCTTCTTCACTGTTAGTTACAATGAACCTCAGCAAACTGTAGCAGCTCAACCAAATCTAGTTGATCAACACATGTGAAACTGTTGTAACTAACTCCTGTCCAGCTCAGTAAGATCTGTAACAGAGTTGACAGTTTGTTAGTGTAAGAATTGTGTATAAATACAACATCATGTATAGATTACGTTATAATGAAAAATAAATCAGCAATGAAAGTTCTCTGTCTTCATCTTCTTCATCTTTCTGAAACTGTGTATTTGAACATGGTATCAGAGCTGTAAATCAGACAAACATTTGTATCAATGGCAACAAATTCAGTAGGTACTTCTCCTTCATTCTTTTCTTCTTCATCTTCAACTACTATAAACACAGTCTCATCTCAATCTCCTATCTACCTTCTGTCAAACATTTGTAACCTGATATCTCTTCGTCTGGATTCTACAAATTATATGTCATGGAGATTTCAAATCTCTGCACTGTTACGTGCTCATTCTCTTTTCAATTTTCTTGATGGATCATATCCATGTCCAGTGCAATTTCTTTCTGATGGAAATGGTATAGCTACTACCAAAATCAATCCACAATATCAACAGTGGATTATCCAAGATCAAGCACTAATGACACTAATAAATGCTACTCTCTCACAGTCAGCTATTACACATGGTATAGGATACACAACTTCCCGACAAGTTTGGCTAGCTTTGGAAAGAAGGTTTTCTTCTTTATCTCGAGCAAATATTTTACAGCTTAAGACTGTTTTGCAAACAATTACAAAAGGAATAGAATCCATAGATGAGTATTTGCAGAAAATAAAGGAATCTCGAGATAAGCTTACAGCAGTTTCAGTTCTGGTAGAAGATGAAGATCTGCTTATATACACCTTGAATGGATTGCCAGCTGAGTACAGTGTCTTCCGAACTGCACTTCGAACCAGATCATAGCCACTTTCTTTGGACGATCTGCACTCTCTTCTTAAGGCTGAAGAGCTATCCATCAAAGCCAACTCAAAGTCACAAGTGAGTTATTTCAATCCTACTACCATAATAGCACCACAAATCAAACAGCCCCTTTTATAACAACAATGGTAGAAACTACTCAAGTCAAGGAAGAGGAAACAGAGGTCGTAATGGTAACAGAGGAAGCCGAAATTAGAATGGTTACAATAACAGATTCAACACACTGCAGAGAGGTCTAACTCAAATCAATACAACCAGAACAGATCTCCACCAGATACTTGTCAGATCTGTAATAAAATTGGTCATAATGCTGCAATTTGTTATCATCGCATGAATATTGCTTATCAAGGCCAAAATCATCAATCCTCAGCTTCATTCAATGCTATGACTGCTACCTTAGACTATTCTTCTAATCAATAGTTCAATCCCAATGACTGTACACCTGAATTTTCACCCTACACTACTATGGCTGCTACATCTGGTCAATAGAGTCCAAATTTTTGGCTTATTGATACTGGTGCTTCCCATCATATATCACTTCAAGCCTTACAAATCTGTCTCTTGCCTCTCCTTATTTTGGTGAAGACAAAGTGTCTATTGGAAATGGACATGAGTTACCTATCACTCATATAGGTCTATCTCTTCTTCAAACTTGTTCTCATTGTTTCAAACTTAACAAAGTCCTTTGAGTACCTTCAATTGCTACAAATATCATCTCTATCAAACAACTATGTCTTGATAATAATTGTCAATTCATATTTGATACTATTTCTTTTGTCATTCAGGACAAAGCCACAGGGCAAGTCCTCTACAAAGGTCAGAGTAGCAATGGCTTGTATCTCATCAATGCTCTCACCAATTTCAACTCCTCTCCTACTGCATATCTTGGTACAAGGATCACTGATCAGTCTTGGCATGATCGCCTTGGGCATCTATCTACTTCTATTCAGCAACAGATTCTTTCTCAACTAAATTTACCTACTTCTTCTGCTAAATCTACTTCATGTATTTGTGAGCACTGTCTATGTGGGAAGATGTCTAAGCTTCCTTTTTCTCTTTCTAAGTCTTTTTCTATGTCTCCTTTACAGATTGTCCACAGTGATATTTGGGGCCCTGCACCTCAACTTTCATTTCATGGTTTTAGATATTACATCTCATTTGTTGATGATTGTACCCGATTTACATGGATTTTTCCATTAGTAAATAAATCTGATGCCTTTGTTGTCTTTGCCAAGTTCAAGCTTTATGTTGAGAATCAATTTTCTCATAAATTGAAAGTGTTTCACTCTGATGGTGGTGGTGAATATATTAATCATCAACTTCAGCACTATCTAAGTCAGTATGGTGTTCGTCATATAAAATCCTGTCCTCACACCCCTCAGTAAAATGGCATTGCTGAGAGGAAGCACAAGCATATTAATGAAACTGCTTTGTCTCTCTTGTCTAAAGCATCTTTGCCTCCATCCTTCTGGTTTCATGCATTTGCTGCACCCACTTATCTCATCAACAGAATGCCTGGTCAAACTGCAAAATCCAAGTCACCTTTTGAACTTCTCTATCACACCAAACCAGATTATTCAACTCTTAAAATCTGTGGATGTGCATGTTATCCTCTTCTCAAACCTTATAACAAACATAAACTTCAACCTAAAACAACCCAATGCATTTTCTTAGGTTGTCCTTTTGATTACAAAGGTTATCTATGCTATGATCCTAAATCCAACAAGATCTTTATCTCCAGACATGTAATATTTGATGAAACATTGTTTCCCTTTTCTGATTCTGTTCACTTTCCACAATTTACTCCTCCTACTCTTGATCACTGGTTGCCTTTTTCTTCTAATGACACATCCTCATCTCCAACCTCAGTGTTGGGACCACATCCTTTTACTCATCCTTCCCCTGTTCAACATGATGTGTCTCCTTTTTCTTCTTAATCATTTATCTTCAGTCCAACGGTCCTCTCAGTCTTCAAGTTCAATTCCACCATCTTCTCTTTCTAATGTCGT